TCGCCAGGGCATTGTCTTTCGATGGGCTGGGTGGTGGGGATGTTTTTTTGGTCGCGGCCGCTGGCGAGAGCGCAAGCGGCGAGTCGTAAGTCCGGTGCGCGGGCCTATTACTTGACAACAGGAGCAAACTAGAGCCGCGCACCTAAACTGCCTAAGCTGCCTAAGCGGCGCCTCAAGTGAGCTGCAAGCTGCACCGAGTGTGGATGCCAGAGCCAACGGCAGAAAGCGCCCACACAGCGTCCATGCAAGCATGGCGGTGTGGTGGGGATGCGCGAAGCGTCAAGAATTGCAGTGATGCGTGAAGAGAAACGGGCTGGGTCACCCCCGCGCGCTGCACCTCAGAAGTCCGAAATGCAAGGGCTTCTGGAATGGTGATGCCCAGGCCCATCGCAGCAAGGCCTGTGGCCCCTGGCCCGTTTTGTGCTCGTGTTCGTGGTTGTTTCTTTTCCCCTCCTCTGCTTTCTCTCAATCCTCTTCGTCTTCCTCCTCCTCTTCCTCCTCCTCCTTTCCCCCTCCTCCTGCCTCTCGCGGTGCTGGCGTCGACCAGCGCCGTCGCAGCAGGGCATTCGGGCCCGCGCCAGCAGCGGTGGCGTCAAAGGGGGGGCGACGACCACGACCATGACTGCGACGATGACAACGTCGACGATTTCGACGGCGACGGCGACGACGATGACGACGACGAGCACGACGACGACGACGACGACGACGACGACGACGACGACGACGGCGGCGGCGGCGGGCTGAACAGGTTGCAGCAGGTACACGGATGGAGGGCGGTTCCTTTTCAACTTGGGAGTCGTTGTGGCGGCTCGGACATGTATCTTCAAAATTTGCAACAGCTGCACGGGTCGAAGGCGGGTCGTTTTCAAAATGGGTCTCTCGCTTTGGCGCCGCAGACATTCGTCTGAACGGTGTGCAACAGTTACAGAAATGGAGGGCGGTTCTTTTTCGAAATGGGGTTGTCGCTTTGGCGCCGCGGCCATTCGTCTTAGAATTTTGTTACAGTTACACGGATGAAGGGCGCTTGGTTTTCGAAATGAGGTTCTCGCCCTGGCGCCGCGGACTTGCGTTGTAAAATATCTTAAAAAGGTGTGCAACAGTTACACGGATGGGGGGAGGGTGGTTTTCATATTGGCGCTGGGGCCTAAAGAAAAATGATTTATCTGGTCAGCAAATGTGTAAGCGCAAGGGCTTGGTCAGCCAAGAACCTGCGAAATCACATTTCTGCGCGCGCACACTTCCTCATCCATGTGAGGCCCATGGGGCGCCTGTCAATCCAATGCGGCGCCCGTCTTTCAGGGGCGCGTGTCCAGGTGTGAAATGGAATACTTGCGCGAACTGTGCAAAGGGGACATGGGACGGGAGGGTGTAGAGCAGCATCGGTGATGTACCTGGGTTCGCTCTCTCTTCCCCCTCCGCCCTCTCTCTCCTCCTGCCCTGCCGACCGTTTCCTCTTTCTCCTTTTCCTTTTCCTTTTCCTCCTCCTCCTCCTCCTCCTCCTCCTCCTCCCCCTCCCTCCTGCGGCGCTGGCGCCGACCAGGCCCGTGGCGGAAGGTCGTTCAGCCCCCGCGCCGGTTGCGGCGGCGTCGAGGGGGAGGGCAACGACCGCGACTGCGACGGCGACG